AGTTGATATGTAATTACTTATATAAATTAATCAATAAAGATATGAGCAAGGCCTCACCTTAATACCAAAAAATAAAAAATAAAATAAATAAATCAATTTGATTGGCTAAGATCAGATTTTGTGCAACAGATTATATATATAAGAAATATAATCTAGCCAATTATATTTATTTATGATCATGTGATAGCAGGCTACTGGTATTTTAAATCAATTATTAAATCTGATAATCTCTCAAAATCAATACAAAAGCTGTCCACTATATATATCAGATTTAAGAAAATATACTGTATATTGTATAATATTGCAACTAACTTTAAATTTAAAGTATTTTTAAATTAAGTAAATTTTTTAAAATTAATTTATAATTATTATATTCTTCCAAAAATAAGCATCTCAGAGCAATTTTTATAGCCAATATTTTCATGATCTAATAATTAGATCTGTATAATTTTAGTACTATTTATAAAATTTATTAAAACTAAGCATAAATGCTATTTATATTGATATAAATAATTTATTAATTTGCAAGTAAAATAAATACTTTTATAAGTCTAATCATATTTCTATAAATAAATTAAGCATTAATTACATTTTACAAATTAATTTGCTTACAAGTAAATGTGTAAATGTAAATGCTTTTGCAAGTATAATTATACTTTATAAATAAATTAATCTATTGAAAGTAACTATTTATACTATTGTTTTTTATATTAAGATAATTATAATTTATTGCTCTAATATATTCTAATAGAGATTTTTTAGGCTATTTGAGAGTATAGGATTTATAATTGCATATTTATCTAATAATATTTTAGTAAATTCTATATTTTGTATTATATCTGAATTATTTCTTGCCTTTTGTTTTAAGTATTTGTATAATTCTTTAACAAATTTAGAAATTCTATTAACATATTTTTATTTTTAAATAGTAAATAATAACTCAAATTATTAATATAATAATAATTTTTAGTAATATATAACTTATTTAGAACTTTTAAATAGTGATAAATATCTTCAACATTTTTCTTTTTATAAGAAATATTAAATTCACATAAAAGTCATGTAACTAAAACTATTCAAATATGCTATTTCACTTCTGTTTGAAATATAAACTAGATTATTAATTGTAATTTAAAAGGCTAATAATAAAACTTCAACTACATTAATCAGATATATAAGAGTAATATATTTCTAATTAAATATAAATACTATAAATAACACCTTTATCTACAGTAGTAGCCATGGGACTCAGACCCCCCTCTAACTCTTTAAATTTTAAAGTTATTATTTTAAATTTTTTATAAATAAATAGTATATCTTCTGTATATATTATATATAAATTTTTATAGTTTTTAATTACTAAATTAATTTTTAGATAAGAGCTAAATTTAATCGAATTTTTTATAAAAAAAAAGATTAAAAATAATTAAATTTAATTAAAAATTATTATCTTACAAGTTTATAATTAAAAAATTTAAAAAATAATTAAAAAAATTTTTAAGCATTTTTTATATTTGTAAAAAAAAATTTATTCTAATTTAATGAAAAAATTATTGAGCTATTTTTGTATAACAAAAATATAAGGGAAAAATAGGTTTTTATACATTTTTAATATAAAATTTATTTACATAAAATCTAAAGTTTAAAATTAAATTTTCCAATAACTGTCTTATTAAATTAAATCAAATTTTTTTTTACAAATGCAAAAATATATAAAATTTTTAATAGAACATTGTAAAATATTGCTATAGTGAAAATCACTAGTTCCCTAAAATCATGTGATTGACCAATTAATTATACTTGTGTAACAAACAATTTAATTTATATTGTACTAATACAAGTACTGGAGTAATATTAAAAGCATATTGAAATATACACTATAGTATAAATTAACTATATACAGTGTACGTACATACTATACACACATATAAAAAAAATAGTTCACTAAAGTTTTATCTAGACCTTATTCTACGAATATAAAATAAAAAATTATTTGAGTAACTATCCAACTACCTACTACTTAATACCTGTATGTGTTAGTAAATAAATATAATAAAGTAGTATGATACAACTGGTTCATTTTATATACAATCAATATATAAGTCAAACTTGTATAATGCTAATAGATAATAATCATTTTCTTCACACATTAACTGAATGATTTTAACTAGATAATATTGCAATTCGAATTTGAGTAACTCTAAATTCGCAATACAGTATAACTTTTTCTAGTATACAGTAATAATACTTTACCAAATGCCTTTATAGATATCAAGCATATAAAATACTATAATAAAAATGTTACTCACATAATAGAAAAAATTGTTAGCACAATAAAACATAACTTTTAGTTTGAATAAGCAATGAATTTCACATTTCGTCAAAGCTGATAATTACCAATGCAGTATTTTACAATGTTATGAAATTCTATATATGTATCAATAAATCAACCTTTGACTATGCATAAACTATTGAAATATTACATCTCTAATTATTCACACATTTCCTTGCAATTTTTTTAATAATACCCAACATTTCCGCATTTTTTATAGGGCTTGACAACTTCATAAGACAACTTGAGTCTTTTAGTACCCGGCGAATAACCTCTGCCCTTATACACTTTTGGATTTTGTAAATAAGAATTTACATTCTCTTTATCAACATAATTATTATTACTTTGCTGGCTTTTATTATCTGAATCTGATATATTATCAATATCAACTTCTTCAGTAAAATCTTGAAGCAAATTGATTAATTGTTGAGATTTTGACTTATTTTGTAATGCTTTATTTAAAGCCTTTTTATATACACCGTGAAGCTTTTTATAAATAATTCTTTGCTCAAGTGTTGTCAGAATTTCTTCACGAAAGTCTGCTTTTTCTTGTCTAAAAAGATATAAATAAGGAATTGGTAAATCATTTGGTAAGATCGACATATCTTGAGTAAATTTATCTGCAACCAAAATGGCTCTTCAGACCTAGTATCATTAGCCAAATACCAACGAGAAGGTAACATTTGAATATGGAACTTTGCGTTGCTAGTTGTTAGCATCAATTGAAAATAATGTCTACATATGATGCCACATTGGATAATAGAAAAACAGGAACATAGGTATGAATTATTTTGTAGCAACAAGACATAATTTTAATATTTGATGAATTTTTGTTGTTTATAGTCCAAAATTCTTTAATATTATCTGGCCCAATGAATTTAACTATTTGTTTCTGTATAGCTTGTGGTTTGTTAATTGATTGTTCTTGAATAATTATTGACTAGTTCTCCTATATTGTATAAAAATTAATGCTTATGTTAACTATATTAAACCAGAATATCTTTAATATTATAAGTTTACCTCTTCATTATCTTGTTAATAAATTTAATTAGCAATATAGTAAACTGACTGATTTATCTCATCACATTGCATTTTCAGAACATTGGGTTTAAGGTATCGCTAGAAATATAGATCAACTTCAGTAAATAAAAAATTTCCTTTTTCTTGATTTCAAACATTTGGTATTGCAATACGCCAAAATCTACATTTAGAAGATAAATTGTTAGCAAGAAATATTAAAATATAACATTATTAATTGAAGTTTCTTGCTATTAATATCTATTTATACTCATTTTTCTTATCCTGAAGATCAAGTAATTTATATATTTTTGCTGTGAGTTCACACAATGAAACATTTGAATTATGTAATAAATTTTTTAAACATCCATTAACTGATTCAACACAGGATGTAGCAATCATGCCGCCTATAAATTTGTATTTAATAAAACAGTATGCCCAATGGCTCTTTGACTTGTAAAGATATTCCAAATAACTTTTGGCATTAGGTATTTTTCTATAAGACTATCAAAATATTGCTGAAAAACTTCTTTAGATAAACTATTTCTACAACAATAAAAATCACTAAAAAAATATTAATAATTTTTATCTAATATTTTCCTAAGATTTTTGTATAAATTCTGGCTTATATGAAATGCATAATAGATAGGATATGTTGATATAAACACTTGGCAGATTGCAGAATCGACTGCAGGATCTGCATCAGTTAATATTACTGATAGTTGGACATTGGTAACTTTAATTATTTGCTCAAATATCCATTTATGTGATTTAATACTTTCATTAATTAAAAGTGTTTGCACTAATAGAATATTTTGCCTATTGCTATCAAACCCAACGAACAAAGACAAGGCTATTTTGTACTGATTGGTCTTATGTATTACATTATTTAATACATAATTGGAGTACTGGATCCAATTCTCTACTTGTATTGGCGTCATTCAAAGTAGACATGTTAAAGTATTGTTATCATCCCAGTCTCTAACAACAACCCAACATGAATTGGTATCCTTCTTTTGGTTTAACCAATTGAGATCTAGAAAAATAATTTATATTTGAGTTATAATTTATAAGTAAGGGTCATTTCATAATAATTACTTTACTAATTTATAAAGCATTTTACAAATAAAATAGGTTTGTTATCTGTGCTACATCATTAGACAATGTCTTACTATTAGGATGAAACTTTTATTTAGCGGTATATAGATCTTTTGATTAAATTGGCTGCATTGGATACTTTCCTTCAAGAAATTTACGTTGTGCTATAGCTTCAAATTTGCAATATATAGTCATAAATCTAATATCTTCTAACATTGTATTGCTAAATTTCTTTATATCTTCAAATTCAATTCCTTTTGGATTTAGTAAATGATTATGTTGTTTAACAATTTTATTAATAATTATAGAATTCTCTGGATTGTTAATTTTAGGATTAGCAACATTAACTAAGAATTGACATTGTGTCTTTTTTGTATTTGTATCTTTTACTAAATTTGATTTATAGATATGACAATGTTCACATATATAAGTTCTTCATTGTACAACACTATTATCACATTGAACACAGTCCTTAATTATATGAAATCCTTAAAATTTTGCCCATTCATTAAGAAAAGATTCACATAACTCCCCATGTGGCAAATTTTTTTCCAGAATATAAAGATATTTGTTCAGTATCATTTTGATTTAGTAATTCGTTATATATTTGTAAATAATCTGTATCATAGCTTGATTTAGAAGAGCTGTCAGTATAAAGAAATTCGCTTTTTTCAAATTTATTAATCATAATCACAACAAAAGGCAGTAGGGATAAAAGAAGGGTCCTAGGACAAAATTACCATATTGTATTCAGAACGACCTCTAACCTCTTTTACAAAC